TTTGGTATCTCTTGTAAGCTTGGTCTGGTTTTAACAAATTCCCTTAATTTCTGCTTATCTGGAAATATCCTAGTTTCACCATCATATTTGAGGGACAATTTTGCTGGGTACATAATTCTTGGTTGGAAAATTTTCTCTTTTTGGGTTTTATATATCCCATCCCATTGTCTTCTCACCTGCATGGTTTCTGCTGATAAATCTGAGCTTAGTCTTACTGGTTGCCCTTGTAGGTAAGTTTTTATTTTTCCCGTGCTGCTCTCATGATTCTTTCTTTGTCTTTGGTTTTGGTGAATTTGATGATGATATGTCTGGGTGATTATCTTTTGGGGTCTATCTTGTTTGGGGTTCATTGGACTTCCTGACTGGATATATTCTCATCTTTCATCATATCAGGAAAATTCTCTTCCAACAAATCTTTGACAATTTTCTCAGTGGTTTTATCATTCTTTTCCTGTTCTGGAATTCCAATGACACATAGGTTATTCCTTTTGATGGTATCCCACATGAACCTTAGGCTTTCTTCATTTTGTTTTGATCTTTTTTCTGATTTACCCCTTTCCAAAATGGAGTCTTGTCAGTGATCACCACGCGGTTTCCCTCTAGCATCTTAGTGCTTGAAAAACTAGGTATAGCAGTTTGAGTTAGGGATTCTGGTGCTCTGAACAGCTCACTGAGTCAGAGTGCACCAAACTCAGATGAGTAAAATTAGAAGGGAGAAAGAGACAGGCAGGGAAAAAAAATAACAGAATCGTAGGATCTATCCTGTGGAGCACTGTCAGGCAGCTGAGAAAGGCCATCTGAGAACTCCCTGGGTTAAGGAGGAAGACACACAACACCAGCATACCAGCAACCACACCAGTATATCAGCGATCACCCTAAGGATCTACCTTCAGCACCTGATTTTATCAATAACTTGGGCTGGCTAGGTGCAAATGGCACATCCAGCACCACTGAAACCTGAGTACAGAGTCCATTGTTGCTGCAGGAGGGGCAGGCCCAGGGAGGTGCCCCTGCAGGTCACTGATCAGGCTTGGGTCAGCTTAGTGGCACTGAGAGGCCTGTGCTTGACTTTATTGGGATGAAAGCTTACTAGCAGGCACTCTCCCAACTCCAGTGCCGCTGAAACCAAGTGGATCTTTGGCGCTGCAGGTAATGGACCCACAGGGGAGCTCCTGAAGTGGATCGCAGTCTGGGCTCATTGGGCTGGTGCTAGGGGGAGGTGGGCCCAAGGATAGAAGCCCCTGTGGTGAATCGTGGAGCCTGGCAGTTGTCTTGGGTCACCTTTTTGGCACCGAGGGGCCTTGGGAGCAGGATTTTGAGTGTGTCTGAGCTTGGCAGAAAGCAGCAACCCCCTAACAACTGGAGTCTGTGCTGAAATTGAGCTGCAGGCCTCTGAATAACATTAGCAGCCTACTCAAAGCCCTAGAAACCACCCCTAGCAACAGGGAACTTCCCTTCTCCCGATCTTCCACTCCCACCTTCTTTCTCCACCAATAACTTCACTCACCCAATAGAACAAACCACATTCAGCCATGATAGTACCTCCTGGTTCAAACTCTAAACCCTCTTTACAACAAAAGAAACCCATATCCACATTCCACACAGTGATTCCACCATTACAGAGAAAACTGCTGAGCAACCCAGCATACCTGAATTAATAACTAAAAAATAAAATACACCAACTTCTCCTTTTCAAAATATTAAATCATAAAACCAAGACAAAAGAAATAAATACATACCCAACAGTTAAAGACAATCACAAAAATTCCAAGAAACAACAGGCAACCTCAAATCAAACAACAACAACAACAAAAAAAAAAAAAAAAAAAAAAAAAAAAAAAAAAAAAAAAAAAAAAACAGGACAAGGCATTAGAAGTAAAACCACAAACAAAGGTCTCATACATGGAGGAAGAGGAGGCAATAGAATTATCTGAGAAAGAATTTAGAAGATATGTTTATAGAGCTATACAAGAGCCTAAGGAAACCCCAAACAGAAACAAGGAGAACACAGACAGTTCCCTGGAAGAACTCAGGAAAATCATTCAAGAACAAAATAACAAGATTAATGATCAGAACTCATACAAAAATAGCAGTTAGAAATCCAGAAAATGAATGCCAAAATTACAGAAGTACACAACATAGTAGAAGCACAAAAGAGTAGGTTAGAATTGACTGAAGAATGCATATCTCATCTGGAAGACAAATCCCTGGACACCAGCCTATATGATGAAAAATCAGAACAAAGATTTAAGAGAAATGAAGAGAACCTAAGAATTATATGGGATGACATGAGAAGAAACAACATACGACTCATTGGAATTCCAGAACAAGAAGAGGTGAATAAGCCATTAAGAAAATTGTGGAAGACCTGCTAAAAGAAAACTCCCCCTATATCATGAAAGAAGAAAAGATATTTGTCCAAGAAGGTCATAGAACCTCACACAAGATAGATTGCAAGAGAAAAATACTGAGGCATATTAAATCGAACTCTCCAAAAACAAAGACAAAGAAAAGTTTTGAGAGATGCCTGGGACAAAAGAAATATTACTTATAATAATCAAACAGGCTGAGCTCTGATTACTCAGCAGAAACCATGCAGGCAAGAAGGCAATGGGACAGCATATATAAAACACTGAAGGAGAAGAACTTCCAACCAAGAATCCTATATCCAGCCAAATTATTCATCAAATATGAGGGTAAAATCAAGGCATTCTCAGACAAACAGAAATTAAGGGGTTTTGTGTAAACCAGACCAACCCAACAAGAAATGCTTAAGGAAGTCCTTCCAATAGGACCCCACAACAGAGATCAAAAAATCAGGATATGTGGCAACAACACTAAAACCAAATCAGAAATAGAAGCTCAAAATAAGACCATAAAACCTTGTACACTAAAAACCAAGGAAGTCAATCAGCACACAACAAATGCAACTAACCTATCAGAGGGAATAAAACTTTGAGGTACAAACTTCCAAATGGAGAGGAAAACAGGACAATGTCTTCACAGTACCTACCATTCTAAAAATACAGAGACAAGAATATACTCCAAGGTAACCCAGAGAAAATTAACAATACCCCTAAACAAATTCAGAAAGAAGGAAAACATAAGGGTTTAATAAGCACAAAACCAACAATAAAGAAGAAAATAGAGGACACATTAGCCAACAAACGGAACTCTGCATGGAAAAGTATATGGACCAAGGAAACACCAACAACACGACAAAAACACACGATAAAATGACAGCAATCAATTTATACCTATCACTAATTACACTCAATGCAAATGGACTAAATGCACTTATCAAGAGAAAGAGAGTGGCAGACTGGATAAGAAAAGAAGACCCATCAATGTGCTGCCTACAAGAGACCCACCTTAGTTTAGACACAAAGACAAAAACAAATGAAGAGTTAAGGGATGGAAAAAAATATACCAAGCCAATGGTAACCAAAAAAGAGCAGGAGTGGCAATATTAATTTCTGATATAGTAGACATTAAGATGAAAAACATCACAAGAGACAAAGAAGGACATTATATGATGCTAAAAGGGTCAATTGACAAGACATTACAATAATAAATATTTATGCACCTAGTGAAAGTGCTCCAAAATATATGAAGCAAATGTTAACTGAATTAAAAGGGATAATAGACAACTCTACAACAGTAGTAGGATACTTTAACACACCACTTTCAAAGAGGGACAGGTCAACTAGAAAAAACTCAACAAAGATACAGAAGAGCTCAAAATGCAATCAACCAACTCGACCTCATAGACATATACAGAGCATTTCACCCAACAAAAACACAATTCACATTCTTCTCCAGTGCATATGGCTCCTTCTTCAGAATAGACCATATATTAGAACACAAAACAAGCCTCAATAAATTCAAAAGCATTGAAACACTACAAAGCGTCTTCTCAGACCACAATGCTATAAAATTAGAAATTAATAATAGGAAGAGCAAGGAAAAAACATCAAACATATGGAAGCTGAACAACTCACTGCTCAAAAAATACTGGGTAATAGAACATATAAAAACTGATATAAAAAATTCCTAGAAACAAATGAGAATGAAGATACATCATACCAAAACCTATGGGAAACAGCAAAAGCAGTACTCAGAGAACAGTTTATAGCAATAATTGCATACATCAAAAAAGAGGAAAGAAACAAAATCAACACTCTAACTCATCAACTCCAACAACTAGAAATAGAACAACAAAAGAATCCTACAGTATCTAGAAGCAAGGAAATAACAAATATCAGAGCAGAAATAAATGAAACAGAAAAAAAAAAATGGAGAAAATGAACAAAACAAAAATCTGGTTCTTCGAAAAGATTAATAAAATCGATAAATCACTGGCAGATCTAACAAAGGAAAAGAAAGAGAAAATGCAAATAACACAAATAGTATAAAATAGGCAATGTCAAAAAAAAAAAAAAAAAGAAAGAGAAGATCCAAATCCTAAGAATTGTAAATAAAAAGGGTATCATCACAACAGAACCAACTGAAATTAAAAAGATACTGATATAATATTATGAAAAACTGTCGTCCAACAGATTTGAGAACCTAGAAGAGATGGACAGGTTTCTAGAATCACAAGACTTACCTAAACTATCCCAATCAGACATAGAAAACTTGAACAGACCTATAAAAAAAGAAGAAGTTGAACAGGTCATAAAAAAACTTCCCACAAAGAAAAGTCCTGGCCCTGATGGCTTCACTGGAGAATTTGATCAAATATTCAGAGAAGAGTTGACACCTATGCTACTCAAGCTATTCCAGAACATAGAAAAAGATAGAATACTCCCAAACTCATTATATGAAGCAAGCATTACACTAATACCAAAACCAGGGAAAGACACCATTAGAAAGGAAAACTACAGACCAATGTCCCTCATGAACATAGTAGCAAAAATCTTTAATAAAATCCTAGCCAACACAACCCAACAAAATATTAAAAAATTAATACACCTGGACCAAGTGGGATTCATACCAGGTTTACAAGTGTGGTTCAATATCAGAAAAACTGTCAATGTAGTCCACCACATACACAAAAGAAAAGAATCATATGATTATATCAATTGATGCAGAAAAGGCATCTGATAAAATCCAACATCGATTCCTGTTCAACACTCTCAGCAAAATAGGGATACAAGGGAAATTCCTCAACATACTAAAGGGTATATATTCAAAGCCAACAGCCAACATCATTATTAATGGAGAGAGACTCAAAGCATTCCTCTTAGGAACGGGAACCAGACAGGGATGCCCTCTATCACCACTTCTATTTAACATTGTATTGGAAGTCCTCGCCAGGGCAATAAGGCAAGAAAGAGAAAAGGCATACAAATTGGCAAAGAGGAACTAAAACTATCTCTATTTGTGGGTGATATGATCCTGTACAAAAAAAAACCCAAGGGACTCAATAAAAAAACTAATGGAAGTAATAGAAAGATTCAGCAAAGTGCAGGATATGGGGTCAACATACAAAAATCAGTTGGATTCCTCTACATCAACAAAGAGTCCTCTGGTAAAGAAATAAGGGAAATAATACCATTTATAATAGCTACTGTGGTCGTTATGTTTGTGTGTTAACTTGGCTGGGTCTGGTTGAGTGGCTGGGCAGCTGGTGGGAGTTATTCCCCATGATGAGACTGGCAATCAACTCCATGGTGGCATCTACCACAAGCAGCTGAGTAGCTGCCTTTGGGATGTGGTCTGCTTCCTCTATATAAGGAGAAGCCTTGGGAATGGTCTCTAGCCTATGGCATGCTTGGACCCTGCATGTAGCCATGTTGTTGCTCTGCAGCTTGCTATGCTCCGCCGACCTTGGGACTTACAGTGGACTTAAGTTAATGGCCTGCCATGTAGTTTGGTAACATCAGGATTGTGCCTTTTTACTTGTCAACCTTGGCACTTGTCAGCCTCAGCAGCCAACAGCTGTCTGAGTGAAGAAACACCTCTAGCTCCAGTGGGCTGGGAGCAGGAGGCAGAGCTGAACCCAAAAGTTGAGGGGCCTTCACCCAGCCCCTAGAGCCTGGCACTTTGAACTTGGGCTTAAAGCCTCTGAACTGTGAGAGAATAAACTCCTGTTTGTCAAGGCCACCCCATTAGTGGTATATTACTGTCAAAGCAGCACTAAGTAACCAGAACAGAATATGGTACCAGGAGTGGGGTGTTGCTCTGACAGATGCCTAAAATGTGGAAACAGGAGTGGAATGCATCTTTGACCTGATACCCTGGCAGAGAGACCCTGGCATACGGCATGACCGATGGCAAAAGCAGAGCAAGAGACCGGCATGAGAGACGGCAGGAGTAGAGCCAAGAGAACTGGCATGAGACAGCAACAACCTTACCAGCCCATGGAGGAGAAAGCTTGATGCCTTTGGTTAGGCAGCTTCCTGGTGGAGTGCATTGCCTTCAGGCATTAATTGGTAGAACAGACTGGCTTGAAAAGGAGTAGCAGGTTGGCTGGCCCATGGAGCAAGAAAGCTAAAGGTCCTTTGGGGCAGGAAGATTTCCAGTGGAGTGCGTTGCCTTTGGAATTAATCGGCAGAAGCAGAGACCAACAAAATGGAAGCAGAGCTGTCTCAGCCTCAAAGGGTAGGACCATGGCCTTTGGGGATGGAACAATCACAGACCCCTAGGTTTCAAAGAGCCAGGCCTTCACCAACTTGGTTCTGGAGTGTGGGGCTGCTCGTTCATGTGAGCCAGTGGGATGGAGCCATAGCTGCTGCCCAAGAGTGAAGGGGCAGAGCTGCCATGCCCAAGGAGGAGAGGAATGGGGCCCACCAGGCCAAGGAGGTGAGGTCACCACTTAGAGGAATTACGGGACTGGAGCCACCCAATGGAGGAGAGCTGTACAGACATAACCCAATGAAGATCTTTACAGATGCCAAGTTGACAAGGGGAGGAATTGTGGTAGTTATGTTTGTGTGTCAACTTGGCTGGTCTTGGTTGAGTGGCTGGGCAGCTGGTGGTAGTTATTCCCCATGATGAGACTGGCAGTCAACTCTATGGTGGCATCTACCACAAGCAGCTGAGTAGCTGCATTTGGGTATGTGGTCTGCTTCCTGTATATAAGGAGAAGCCTTGAGAATGGTCTCTAGCCTGTGGCACACTTGGACCCTGCACGTAGCTGTGTTGTTGCTCAGCAGCTTGCTATGCTCTGCCGACCTTGGGACTTGCAGTGCACTTAATGGCCTGCCATGTGGTTTGGTAACATCGGGACTGTGCCTTTTTACTTGTCAACCTTGGGCTTGTCAGCCTCAGCGGCCAGTAAGGTGTCTGAGTGAAGAAATGCTTTGAGCTCCAGTGGGCCAGGAGCAGGAGGCAGAGCTGGACCCCAAGGTTGAAGGGCTTTCACCCAGCCCCTAGAGCCTGGCACTTTGAACTCGGACTTAAAGCCTCCAAATTATAAGAATAAACTCCTGTTTGTTAAGGCCATCCCATTTGTAGTATATTCCTGTCAGAGTGGTACTAGGTAACTAGAACAGTGACTAAAAAGGTAAAATATCTAGGAATAAACCTCACCAGAGACACAAAAGACCGATACAGAGAAAACTATACAACACTGCTACAAGAAACAACAATGGCACTACATAAATGGGAAAACCTACCTTGTTCATGTAGACTGAAAACTGTGAAAATGTCAATACTCTAAAGCAATTTACACTTTTAACGCAATCCTGATCTAGATTCCAACAATTTTTTTTTTTTTAATTGTGATTTGGGTAAAGATTTACAGAGCAAATTCACTTTCCATACAGCAGTTCATATATACTTTGTCTCATGTCATTGACCA